TTTTTTTCTAAAAATAACAATTAATTTACCTAAAATTTAAATTAGAAAACAAAAGTTATTTTGCAATAAAGGGAGTGAAAACCTAAAGATTAATATGTTATACTCTTTTTCCTTTTATAATTGGAGTACTCTTTACCGAATTTTTGTGCACATCAAAATTAATATTTTCTAAGGTGATTTTAAAGAGATATCCTTAATATTGGTCTTGCTCTGTATATTTAAATCAATTAATTTTAACTGTTGGGTCAAAACTAATATCTTTATATATTTTTGAGCAAAGACAAATGGAAAAAGAAGGAAAATAAAGATATTTTAGTATTAAAAATATTTAATACATTTAATAATAATTATATAATAAATTTAATAAAGTTAAAATTTAAAGTATACCATACATATTTAATAATTATAACTTAAAAAAATAATATTTTTAATAATGCATTCTAATTTTTTCTTTTCTCGACGCTACTATACTAGAGTTCAATAATTGTGAGGCCGCCATTAAAAAAAGGAAGAAAAGAAAAGAGAAGAGAAAAAAAAAAATCATATTAACGCGGTGGTCTTGGTCCCGACCTGGCGCTGTGCGCGCAGCCACCCATTCAAATTCCCAATTCATTGGGCCACCGGCCCAACAGCTTTTTGCGGGTCCCATTCTGTTGGCTTTTTCTCTCTAACCTTTTCCATTTTGTCGTTTTCTCCTCCTGTAATTGCACCAAACCAGAAGTCCTTCTTCAGTCTGCGCTTGCACTTCGGAATGACCTGCAAAGCCCCGAGGTGGAACTCGGGGTAGACACTCCGATGCTTAAGTCAGCAATAATCGGGGCTACCTTTAGGGCGAAGATAAGAAAAGCTTAGGGTTGGTTTCAATTACCTTTTGACGTGGCCCGGAGGGGGTATTTATAGGATTTAATGAGGAACCCACGTGGCATGCCAAGCAAGATAGTCGGAGCCTGACGTGTCTATCCAGACGATAATTCCGGGACCGGGAATTTGAGAGGTATTCAGGTATACAAGCGTCCATCATGCTTGCTGTGCTATTCATCGTAAGGAATCAGGTGCGGACATGCTCATTGTCATTGCCATGCATCTATTTGAGCGGGAAGCTTTGGGTTTATTCTGCACTTCGGCCATAGAGGAGTTACTGTAGCAGTCCGAGTCTTGGTACCTCGGACCTGTCCTTACACTATTCTCCCCCCGAAGTCATTCACTTGTGAATGATGGTATTGGGGGTGTTGAGGGTAGTGCAAATAAAAAGAGGGAATAATGTCTGTAACTTAAATGTAAACCTAGCCGTTGCTGACGATGAAATATGAAGTAGTGGGTTACACTGGGAGTATCTTAAATAAAATATGACCGGAGTGATCACGGTTGTGATGGTGTAAAAACAATGACCAGAGTTAAACGTAGCTGTAGCCATAAAAATATGATGACCGGAGTCATAATAGCCGGAGCTGCAATAAAACATGATGACCGGAGTCATAATGGCCGGGGCTGCAATAAAACATGATGACCGGAGTCATAATGGCCAGAGCCGTAACAAAATATGATGACCGGAGTCATAAGGGCCGGAGCCGTAACAAAATATGATGACAGGAGTCATAAGGGCCGGAGCCGTAACAAAATATGATGACCGGAGTCATAAGGGCCGGAGCCGTAACAAAATATGATGACCGGAGTCATAAGGGCC